GCGTTTTGTATTAAATCTAGTTATTGTCAAACACTAGGCTTGCCTCAACGGTGCAAGAGATATGAAATGGAAGGAATAGGTCGTTTTTGAAAGGTGTCTGCGTTTTAACCTTGAATAACTGGAAAAGAAAAACAGTTCGCTCAATTTGTTGGTTTGCCAACACTACTGCATTTTCCCGCATCCCTTTTCGTTTTAACTTACCAAATTTAATTAAAGCATGACAATAGTTTGATCAATGTCTTAGGTTAGAAAACGGTTGATTTATGCTCGGCTTTCCCATCAATCATGCAATATTCTATCATCCTTAATATTTATATTTCGAAGTTGATATCTTTATAATCACCAAGCCTCTAGGAATGTTATAAATGTTTTCGAGTGTTAAACAGTCAGATGACTTGTATTTTTTGTTTTACATCGACTTGTTGACACAATCTATAGTAAAATATGAAAAGCTTATTGCTTTTTCTGCATTGAAATAAAACAGGAAAAAAGTTAAGCACTTCACCTGTCATTTCGTAATTGCTGATGTTTAAGTAAAGTTATTGGTTATTCTTTTCTTGGAACAGGAATTTTTTGAAGCCCATTGAAGGCATGCCTTTCCACGAAATTTTATGTTTCAAGAATGTTGAGAAGCTTCAATTGGTAAGACATCCAAAGATTATCTTTTCCATTGGATGGATTACTTTACTCACAGAAGTACGGTTGGGATTTAATTTGCAGCCTCGTATTACCTATAGACACTGCCAGCTCATGCACACCTTTGCCTAACTGAGGAAATGACATTAATTTGTATCAGGACTTCTAATTCATTAGATCCGATTTATGCTTACAAGTTAAAACTAAGATTAGGGAGGGCATTAATTTTTTTGTTCATAAATGCAGCTTAATTTTGTTGTTAACCTGGATGAAATGAACTTATGTGAGGGTAACCCATTTGGTCCAGGTTATATTACCATCCCTATTTCCATTCCCATGAGTTACCATTTGTTGAGGTTCCTTAGCTTGAGTTAAACGCTGACACATTTTTCTTTGGCATGGTTAATGCATCACGAATGAAATGAAATTGCAGCATGTCTTGTATCGCATTTTGAAAATGAGCATGTTGGGTACGGATGTTTATTTGTATGAACTTCAATTAACAAGATACCATTCCTGTATACATTCTTTATATGAGATTTCTATAATGCGCCTAGGTTGCATAAAGTTTAAGGCACTAGATTTAAATTTCTTTACAATTTTCTTCGTTCTTCTGCAGTTTTAGTTAACTCTTGCTCTTTATAGGTTTTGATTGGAGATCCAAGAAGAAGAATTCAGGTTGATCTGTTGGAGTTCCATAAGATTTTAAGGTGTAGCTGCTGTAGCAAGAATGGCAATGCCCTATTGCCATCCAGGCATGATTCCTCAATTATGTGAGTATCGAATAGAATGCTTGTATACAGGATCCCAGTTCTTGCAACTTCTCGATGTGTTCCTTGCCAGATGCTATATCCATCTTTTTAATAGGTTATCTCTTTAATGTGTTCTTCCTCTTTAACCAGTTGCATACATCTATCCTCTCCAAAACCCCACTTACTGAGAGTCTGTCGAACTTTTTTCTATACCCAAAACGGAAGTATTTCTTCATCTTAAATGCCAAAAGATTGTTACTTTCCTTTCTTGGGAGGGTGGGAGTACAAAGATTCCCTAGGTCAATCAATGTTATTCCTTCTTAGTTCTTACTCAAACTTTTGCTTAGAACTTCGTGGCTGACATTTAATTTAAATGTCCCTCCTTGTACGTATACTTAAATCTTGAATATAAATAGCAAGCTTCCACCCAATTTAGGCTTTTTGGTATAACTAAAAAGTTTGAAATCTTAAATATCAAAGTACACTGATTTTGATATTTTAAAATATATTAAAAGCATTTTTAATTTATCAAAATCAATATATTTTGAAGGTACTCGAGCTACAGCACCACAAACACAAGTTTCTACTTGTTGGTTTGATTTGATATTAATATTTTATAGTATTTTACAGGTATTCTCTGGCTCAAGAGCATGGAGATCTTATCAATCTCCATGACTGGTTTCAGTCTTTTAGATCAATTGTTCTTCAAAATAAAAATAAACGGAAGCAAAGTGCAAAGCAATCCCCACAACCAAAGAAGAGAAAAGCTATAAATGGATCTGCAGACCAAAACGAAGCGTCAATTCAGTATCCTTTTATTTTTTGCATTTAACATAGTATCTTTGATAGCAGGAGCTGTATTGCTTCAATTGCATTGCTAGATGTCCCAGATTAGTTAGCAGTTCTAAAGTTATTATGTCACCTGCATCTTTTTTTATTTGCATAGCATTTTAACATTAGAAGAGATAATGCCAGCATTTTCAAAACTATATAACATGGGGTCATTTGAAACAGAAAACAAGCTAACACGTTCAAAGAAAAATTACACTGTCATCTAATCACAACCTACTACATATAATATACAGTATAGCTATTAAACTTTTTTAATTGATTAAACATTTTAACATAGGGTGTTGTGTATTTTGATCCTTAAAATTTTTAATTGTCCAGTGTAATTATTTCTAAAGCATTTTTAATTGTCCAGTGTAATTAGTACGATTAAGCATTTTCATATTAATTTACATAACGTTTGATGAAAAGTTAGACTAACGGACTAAAGTGGGCACTTCAAAGTTAAGGAATCATATCCCGTTTTGAGGGTACGACCCAGGTTGAGGGTAAATTTGGACTTTTACCTTCCATTTATGGTATTGCAATCTCACATCTTTTGTTGCTTATATCTGCCCTTTCTCATTTAAACTGCTCCTGAAATGTTAGTTTCAATGAAGAGTCATAATGTAAAATCTTGAGGGGAAGTACATTTACCAGTAACTGATTTCTGCCATGAAATTGATTTAGACAAATGTAAGACTTAAAAACCCCTAGTTTTGGAAGTTCTTTAAATGAGTTTGAATTGTAGGCTACTTCAGTACTTTATGACAAGTTAGATTCGAGTCATGATCTTTTAAATGATTTAGGTTTTTAGCCAACTCTGATGTGAATATTATTTGTACATTTCTCATTTTCATCTCCCTAGCTTTAGCAATTGCAATGCATTTTATTGATCTGGGTCACAATCCTTAATTTTCGTTTGCAATAGAGCACGCTTTTGTAAGGCAGTTACAGAGCTGCAGATCACAGGACTGGTTAGAATGCCCAGCAAGAGACGCCCAAATTTTGCGCAAAGAATAGCATTTGGACTTTGAATACATGCAACATTCACTCCTTTACTTTTGATCTTGTGATTTCCTAATTTTGTTATTAAAATGTAATATAATTTTATTTTCTTATATATAACCCAATTATTCATTCTCTGTTAAGATGATTAGTTAGAATAATAATGAATTCGTCGAACACGAATAATGTCTATTCGTCTAAATAAAATTCACTACGTATATTTATTTAAAAAATATTTATGAATATTTTAAAATATACCTATAAATATTTTAAAATATATATTTTTATAAATTTTAATTAAAATTAAAAAAACATATAAAATATAATATAAATTAAATATAAATTTAATTTTAATTAAATTTAATAAAATATAAATTAAAATATTTGCGATCTGTTAATAATAAATATTTATTAATATCAATTATCAGATTATATCCGTAATACACCTTATCTAAAATAAAAAGTTACATAAATAATCGTTAACTGGAAAAATGAACTATAAATGTTATTTGGAAAAATCTTCGCATATCTATCTTTTTCCTCCAATAAATGTTCGAGTCTGAGTAACTCGTATGTGATTTTCCCATTCATATAACTAATGAAAATTATGGTAAAATATACAATGAAAAAAAATTGATCTATTTTAATTTATTATTTTGTTTTAAATTCTTTAATTCCTGAATACTCGATTAAAAAAAATTAAATGTGATTTATATCAATAATAGTAATATCTGAACTCTATTTGGTATTGAGGATCATCGAAAATACTATTTCTACGGAAAAATATTTTCAATCGAGATAAGCTAACATTAGTGTTTTGTCTCGTTCATTAGAAATTGAAATGGAATAATGAATCAAATTTAGTTAATGTCGAGAATAATATTCTACAGTCAGTAATTCAAGATCTTTCCTTTCAGCGACACTACTAAAAACAATGAATCTAGCAAAAGTATTAGTATTAAATCATTAATGGACTGCATTATTACCAATTTGTCTATATGTTCATGAATCATTAAATCTTTTAAATAATTGTGGCGTAAAAAAGTTAGGCTATGCACAACGCATTTTTACATAATCAAAGCATGACACATACAAACTTATAGTTTTGTTTTATTACGATGACCAAGGGGGCTAAAGACAACTAGAAATTGCGGAAAAAGAAAAACAGATGGAAGATTACCTTGCAGGCCCATTTTCGATCATGGTCATGGCTGGGAACAAGGGTTTATAAACTACATTTCTCTATGATAAATACGAAGGATCACTGATGTCATTTTCATAAATGAGATGTCAGAAGCCAATACAATTCAGAAACTAAAATCAATAATTATCCCATTTAGCAGAAACTATAGCATGATCTAGAAACATATGAGAATGATACTCATAATGTGATATCTAATTCCAATTTTAAAAAATTGAAAAATGTAATTACGTGGCAATGTGAAAGTTATTTAAGATCATATAATTTCTCTATGTCTACGGAAGAAGCTAATTTCTCTCGATTGGATTGCGAAATATCTTAAATAATAAAGGCTGGGTTTGAACACGACATCAAATCACATAAAAAACCTTCACATATTTAAGTAAAAATAATAACAGAAACCACACGATGATAAAGAAAATTAGAAAATACATAAATAATTATATTTGCTAATTGTAGAATAACAAAAACTAGTGTACGAAAATCTCAAATGTAAATGAATATATCGTGATTCCAGAATAAGTCTACACATCAATTTCTTCTAATATATATAACTATCAGACAGCAAGGCCTGGGATTTGGTTGTCATTCCATTGTAACCTAAGAACAGTCTAAGGGGCTATAAGTGTTTTTTAGTCAAGCTTCCGTCTATCATTAATTAATACTTCTTCAAACCAAGATATAAGACTAAGAGCCTACACCTGCATGTCATCATCGGAAATAACACGAAAATGGTTCTTTCTTATGATGGTTGTCAGTCAACAAAATTTGAAACTACGAGTATTATTTTATACAGATTCACAGAAGTTAACAAGATAAAGAGAATAACAAATATCCCATATAAAAACAGTGCAGAAGAGTGCTTATTTCATTTGGCAAAAAACAAGTCCAACCTGGATTACTCTGCCATCAATTGATCTTAGGACGCGAGTAAAACTTTGGGTCCCTGAGAAACCTTGAAACCAACCCTGCCTTGTCGGTAGAAAGATCTGTGTTCTCTAGAATTTGCTCTTTTGACGCCTTTGCAATTGCTTGGACAGAACCAATAGCTTGACTGAGCTGAATTGAATGATCAGAATAAGAAAACAAATCAAGCTATATCTGCTTGGCTACCATGGTTTCGGACGTGACTAATGCGGTCACTATCCTTATAACGAATGCACAACATCATACATGTGTTTGTTTGTCTATTTAGCAACTTAAGGTGAAGAAACGAAAAATAGGAAAGCTAAACTTAAGAGTAGTTGCCACATGATAGAGGAATTCACCGCATTTGCATCGTGATTGTCAATGCCTGGGATGGATGTAACCACCTTAAGGTAAAAGTCCATTCTTTGCACCAACTGCTTCCTCTTCAAAACCCATAAGAACATTCTTACATCAATGTTTTTTTAATTTCTGGAGGGACTCCAAGCACAATCATAGTGTATGAATGCAGAATCAACCACTGACCTCATCTTTCAATTTCTCTCCAATTCTTTCTTGCTTGTATACTGCAATCAGTTGGAAAATAAGAAACATAAATTTGAAAAACACATTACAGTTTGAAGATTCCGGTACCTCCAGAAGAATGAGCTATTTTTACCATCTTTTCAAACCCCATCTCCAAGTCCTGAACTGGCACAAATGTAGGCTTGCCAATCACCATACCAAATCTGCACACAGATGCATAACCATGATCCTTGTTTTCCATTATTGAAGTCATACATTGCAAACCATATCAATCAAAACTCAAGCAATAAAACTCACGTGAAATATGACTGAATAAATGAATTGATTTGCTCTTTTGCTGGGAGTGCGAGAACCACGTAAAACCTTGCAAATTGCATCTTCAGCTTCTTAACTCTGCATGAGAAAATTAGAATCAGGCATAAAACTCGTAACTCTTAGTCCAGTAGAACCACCCAAAGGTAGGCGTTGACTCCAAAACATCAATCAAGTACCTGTTGAAGATTGAAGCAACATTGTAGCAGTCCCAGTTTGTCACAAAAATGAAGGCTACAGATAAACCCCCACAGTTGAATATAAAGTCCTACAAGGATAGTCATCATGTTTCAGAGTTTAAATGGTGTTTGAAAGGAACGAGACAAGAACAGGGATAAAAACACAAAACTGGCATTACCGGGGCAATCGGGACAAAGTTTAGGCGAAAAGAATTTGCAGAGAGGAAAGTGGAGATAAAATTGATGAACGATGGATGTTGATCCTCTTTCCAATCATTTCTCATTAAACAGATTCCAGCTGTTCCTACAACAGTGCATAATAATGACCTCGTTCTAAGCTGAACAAGTTAAGAACAAAATGCATTTCTGGTAATTAAAAATTTAAATATGTAACAAAGCTCGCCGTCAAGCTGTCATCATTGAGTACGCGGTTAAAACAGCATACAAAAAAGTCAATACATTAAGAGTTACAAGCATTATTGCAGAATTTCCATAATAAATGGTGGTTTTAGTTGAAGAACCAGAGTCCGTACGCTATCAGATATTCGGATCGATTTAATGAGATCTCTTTATAACAATTTTCCTAAAATATACTCTAGCCACTTCCTCCTCCTATCAAATTGCTTGAAAGCACGAATATAAAATCCAAAGAAAGAAACTCGAAATCTAAAAGGAAATAGAAACAATAGATCATTCTCCCTCGGAAATGAAATTCCCTAATGACTCTTAAAATATCCTTCTACTCATGGAGGACATAAGTATTTTTCAACTTATTGCTCCTTTCCTTCTTCCCTAAATAAAAACAGATCTCAAAGGAAAAATAGAGATGCAATAGCATAAACCTCTGCGTCAAATTAGTATAGAAGAGTCACAGTATTACAGTTTCAGACAGCATGAGATCAATTCCGTGTTATCGGATAATGCGATTTACAATCTTAACAAACAGAATTGCGGCAGTAATAAAATAACGATTAACGAATCTGTTTCGGGAAGTAAGAAACATTGGTACCGGAGAACGTGGCATGCGAAGGTGTTGAAGTTGTTGAGTCCATAACTATGAATGGAGAAGAACCGCTTTAGTCTGTTTTCCAAATCTCTCTACGAATTCAAATAGAGAACAAGAGAGAGGAGAAGAGAATCATACCGGCGGCAGACGGAGGTTTCTGCCAAGGCGGCGGCTGACGGTAATGGCCACGAAAATCAGAGGAAACGGAAGCGAACAAGAAAGTAATACAAGAAACGAGTTGAATGGCAGTTGCGGCAGCACGAAGAGTGAGTGTTTCCCGCCAACAAATATCAACAAATATATATATATATAAAATCTCTACATTTGAAAAATATTAATTTACAGTTTCGTTTTTATTAATTAATTTTTAAATTATAAAACTAGATGGTTTCGATTTTTATTTCACAGTTCTTACTTATGTATTTTTAATAAATTTTTACTTATGTTAAATGGTATTAGAAGTAGCGCAGTATTAGGAGTTTTCAAGTCCATTTAAATCCAAAATTTTGGTCTTATATGGAAGTAAGGGGTGTCTGCCTGCACCCCATGGTTTTCTTTCCGCAGCCCCAAGTTTTCCCATCATTCCAACTTTGCCCCCTTATTATTATATATTAAATAATTAAATAAATGAACTGTGTTGTGTTCCTTTTTCTCTTTTCCCGAAACCCTTCTTCTGAAATTATGGATACAATTTTGTACTATTTGTAGTTGGTTATAATTTTTCTCTATTGGAAATGGAGGGTTATTCATTAGGTTTCGTGCACTTAGATAAAGTAAACCAAAGTTTTGAGATATTTTACAACAAATGAGATATTTTCTATACGTGGATGCAAAGTATTGTCATTTAGTTTGGTTTTGTTGTTGTTATTATGAGACCTAATAAAGTTAATAATCAATCTGAAAGGAAGACACAAGATCTAAGCAAAACCCTAAACATTAATTTATTTAGCATTTTATCATGAGAAACCAATTTTAACTCCCCTTGGTTCAATACAAAAGATTTACATATCAAACCATGTAAATTATAAACACATCATCAAAACAAAAAAATAAACTTGTGTGACGATACTGATCATAATCTAAAAATATACACAGAAAAAAGAACAAAATGAAACCAGAGGGCAGCGAAAGCTAAAGTGTAAAAATTATAAAATCATTAGGGTTGAGGTTAATGAAGGTCAAACTCTCAATCAATTCACCTTCTGAAAAACATTGCTGAAAAGTATTAAACATGCACCTCCAAATCCAACTGCCTAGCAAGAGCAATCCATCTAACTTAAAAAATGAAACATGTCAAATGAGCTTCTTTTCTATTTCTTCTAATTTGGCAGGTTTATTTAACAGCCACTGCTTTATATTGCAGGCTAGAGTAACAAGAACAAACTGAGAGAAGCACAGATTCATGATTATTGCTTCAAAAAGGAAAGGATACTTCTCAGGAGGATGCATGGTCAAGTAAACTATGTGAAGAACAAAAGAGCAGCATAAAATAAAGAACATGGTTGCTGAGCCCAAATAACTATTAAGGTAATTAGTCTCTCTCACTTTGTGTTGAACAGGTGCATTGAGTATCAGGACAAAGAGGGCAAGCAAAGCCAAATATGCAACAACCAAGTTATCCCGACATATCAGAGGAAACATGGAGAGCATGGCGAATTGTGTGAACCACTTGAAAATAAAAGGCTCTTCAACAGCCAGAAGGGTTGCTGGAAGAAGAGGCAGCAAAATAGACTTCTCATGCACTGTAAAAGGCCACCAAATAGGAGAACAGATAATTTCTCATAAGGTTCTTAATAAAAAAAAATTTCATAACTCTGGAATATGAAAGAAAAGAAATACTACCAACCTTGAAAAGAAAACAAGTAAAAGGAGAAAGAACTATTCAGCAACGCATAAAGGAAACCTCGATGGCTGGGAGACTTTATTTGTTGAATCATTGAAGGAAGACAGGTTATAACTGTTGCAGTGAAGCTGATAAGCTTCAGAGATTCTGTTGTGAATAATCTTTTCCATTTGATGAGAACTGAAGAGGCACACCAAAAGTTGGCCACGTAATCCTCAAATATTCCCCTTTCAAATGGAGCAAGACGTGAGAGGACCTGTTACATGTGCCACATGCAAATGACAAGAGTCCATTATACGGATCAGGAAATAGTTGAAGAGGTATCTCTGTTGTTTCATGTATCAATCAACACCCACGACTAGGTTTAAACTTGTAATACGGCCATATCTACTTTGATATCCCTCATAATTTTGACGTATTGCTATTAAGGCTTCACGTTCCTAGCTTTGGTTGCAAACTATCACTTCGCCAAATTCATCTATGAATATCATACTTGGCTAAAGATTAATTTTTAATCTTCATATCCCTAAACCGTAGTATGTGGAACTTTTACAAACTATTAAAGCAACACAAGTTTTAATTACGGAAGAAAGGTAACACAATGCAAAACCATAAATATACCTAGCATTCAAGAATGATGGAGATTCTTTCACGGATGTGAATAATTTGTAGAAATTGAAATTATTGTTTTCAAATATGCAGTTAGTGGTTGCATGTTTTCCAATATCAAAGACAACATTGTTTAATTTGCAAACGTGCTGTTTAATGATGTTTAAACTATCTCTGGGCAATGATTTCTAAATTTTCAGTGCATCCACATACATTGAAGATAAGATTAAAGAGAAATACAAAGCAGGAAGATCAGGAATCCTCCAGAGAGCACTCGAAATACTAAAAAAACTCAAAGGAGAGATTAAACAATCGAGTATAATGAAGACGCCACTTAAAAAAGTAGAGGGACAAAAAACAAGGAAGAAAGAAAAACTATCATGTGACTCCTATTCTGAAAAAGTTCCACATGCATAGCTAGCTGCTGACAATTCGAGCATTTTGCACCAACTAAAAAAAAACTCAAACCACATTCAACTCATTCTTCCAGAACCACAATATTAAAAAGAGAAGAAAATCACTGGGAGGACTAACAATGCCATCATCAACTGTCTAGCAGACTCAACACAAAGAGGACGATAAGTAGTTTCCCAACTCCTATGATATACCTTACACAACATTGAAGACATAGTCAGATATGATCTATGCATTTTAGGATTAAAAGCTGAGTGTTGAGATTACAATCCAGAAATGTCATAGATCTGGTCCTTTATTTGAAACATTCACTAAATGACATTAGTAGTTCATCTGTGATCCAGAATGCATGGAAACATCCATTCTAATAGACGTATTCAAGGCTCGTGTTACTTGCTTAGTAACCAATGTCCAACTTTTTTGTTACTTTTGCACTCAAGCAACTTGGACAGCATCATTTAAACCAAGACAATTTTTAATCAGTATACTGATTACGGACTACTCGGAAGATACCACAAACCATTACCAAATCACTAAATCATAAACATCTAAAGAATTTTAAATGAAAATTAGGAAACAAAATAATTATTTAGGATTATTCTTTGATTCCACAAGTGGCACACAGGCCACGATGATGTAACATAATCAAGAATATGCACTTAAGGTAAAGATCATATGTTCCAACGTGATAGATAGGAGAACAGACCAGATAGTCAAGATTATGTTATACAAATAAATTATGCAATTATATATCCACATCGCAAAGCTTTCTGACAGTACAGATAGTAAATCAATTTACAGTAGCCTTCAAGATGAAACCCAATCATGACACACTTAGTATAGCCCGAGCCAAATTTCACACAGGGAGGATGAATAACATAAGCAAAAGGCAGGAGGGACATAAGTATTTTTTTTACTACAAAACGCTCTATCAATTTCTGGACAGTCAAATGAAAATTAAATGAAAGTAAAAATTATGAAATCTTTGGTCATGAGAAACAAAATTACAAGAATACAAATGCACTTGGAACCAGGCAATGACAACATTGTTACCTCTAAAACAGATTGTGTTGAATATAGATAAGGCCACCACACAACGGCAAATGTTCCTAAAACCAACAACCCAAGTTTTAACACCTCAACGATTGGATGTTTCCGCCTCAGGGATTTGCCGAGTAGATGGCTGAAAAATGCAGGTGCAAAATATGCACTCATCTGAAAAAAATGAAATGCATAAAATAATTACCAATCACCGAAGAAGAGTAAACCAAAAACATGATGCCAGATGCAATTATCACAACTTTGGATATAGTACACTCTGTCCTCAGCTTATTAGCGAGCACAACAACCTAATCTATTACTTCCATTTGCCATTTTTATGACAACTATATGGTTTTGTCAACTAAGGATCATATTCATCGACACAACCAAAAAATTATTGTCAACTAGTGATCACGCTAATTGGCACAAGACAATAGCAAAGTCAATGTCATTAAATTGACACGGTAAAATATTTAGAAATTTCATTTGGTTTGAACTAGTGTATAGGCTGATAAGTATATCAGCAACTCAGGATACAATTCAGCGCATGCAAATTAATTAATAAATTATAAGAATCAACCAAGAAAAAGAAATATAATCTGCAAAATGCAAGCAATTGACATTCAATTTAACACCAACTCCAAAAGTAATACAAGAAAAGAGGAAAAGCCATACTGTCACAATATAAGCACATATGCAAAATTTGAATACCATCGGGTAAGGTTGAGTTACCACATATTACTCCATAAACTACGTAAAAATAGCTCAGAGTAAAAAAAACAAATGAACAAAGATGAAGGAGACTAACCTGTTTATGATTTAGAGCTAGACAATAAAGAACAGAACCCACAAAATCTTTCCCAGAGAGGATAGCAGCAACAGCTCCAATAGTAAAGCCCAAGCTGATGCAGTTGAACTGAAATACAACAAAATACAATATTCAAAACTACAGCACTACCAAACCAGTGACTGAAAAATATGTAAAGAACCAAAGGCATTGAACAAGAATGACAGAAGAATTTTCTTTTGAAACCTGAAAATGACCATGATCAATTAAGATCAAACAAGGGCTTAGCAATAGTGCAGCAGTGTGCCATGCTAATTCACTTTTAAGGCCCCTAGAAGGTTTGTTGTAACGAACAACAATAAAATACAGTACAGCCGGAAAGAATATCAAGGCATCGGATGATAACACTGTCCACCTCATAAGTAGTTTTCTGCATAAGTAAGCACAGCTTCAAAAATGAATAATGATAGTATCAAAGCTAAACTACCCATTACTTGGCACCAAATTGAAAGTAACAAAATTGTAGACATCAACAGAATTCTAAATACTAAAAAGTGGGTTTCAACCTAATTCATTCCTACAAAATCAGTTTCTCATTCATTTATATATAATAATTCATTTATATATAATAATTTGGTAGTTAACGTGGGATCTCCAACATATAGACTGTCATTTTCATTTTGATCCCTGAAAATTTTGCCCCGATTGTACTACAGTCATTCATTTAATTACAGAATGAGGAAACCTTAAACTATTCAAACTCTTTCCCGCGTTCTGCTACCTTCACTGGGGACTAACATAAACGAGTATGAATGAACATATACAAAAGCTATACGCAGTTCCGTAAATACTTCCAGTGTTATTCTCCCAATAAAATTCGTGTTTCACCTCAATAAACTACGTTGATAATTAATCCAACCAAAACCCTAATTATGCAAAACACCGAAGTGACCCACCAATTCAGATTGGAAAATAGGACCAAAAGAACCCAATGAACTAGATCTAAATTTTTCCCTATACCTAATTCAAACATAAATTGTAAACATGATTTTAATTGGTTGGTGCATCTCAAATTGCAACGACCCAAATACCATTTTACACTAAATTGGAATTAAAAAAAGGGTAAATTGCTCACCCAAGATAGGACTCATGACCTCTGGAAGTGAAAAGAACAACGGACTGAGGATGGAAGAATCGAAGAAAACGGCCATGAATGAAACTTTGGTATGCAGTCAAAGGAGGGTAATCAAGTCCCCAATAGCTCAGATCATTGTTGGAGCTGTTTCTATACCATTCCTTCACGGGAAGATTAGTCGTAATCTCCATCCAATGCCTCTGAGCCTCGTAATCCCCAAACTTTGGAGGGTTAGCAGCACCAGAGTAAGGGTGCAGTGACACTGCCACACGAACCAACAATGCAAACAACCCAACAGTGATGAACACGGTTGGTGTTCCATTCTGAAGCAACCACCACCAACAATCAAAATCATCAGTTCCACTCTCTCTAACCTTCTTTGCCTTCCCCATTGCAGAAAATTAAAAATCTACAAATAGCTATATTTTTGCACTAATTTCCTGACTTTGGAGTGTTGGAAAACAAGCATTGATTTATACTTTGACTATGTTAGCCGAATTTGTTTCTTATTTTGATGTTATCTTCCATAGTTTATTGTTAAATAATTTTATATTGGGACATACAGTTATAGAATTGTTAGCTCATTGAACTTGTATTATGATTACTGTGTTATGGTATTTATACTTTAGAATGACGAGAGTAGACATAGTAAACATAAATACATTAAATATCTATTTATAAGAAATGTTGATAGAGAAAAATAAAATGATGATTGAATATGTTAGTATTGAGTTAACGAGAGAATTTTAAGGATAATGTAATATAAATGATATTTTTGTTACGTGATACTAAAAGTAATATTGTTTTTTCATATGTTTTGAATGCATACTTGTTTATTTTGGAAAATATCACTTTGGGGGATATCATTTATTATGACATAGAATAAACATAATTTATTCATTAAGAACTTACGAAAGAGAGACTTTATACGTTATGATATAAAGATAATATTTATTGTTAGATGACTTGATGTAGATTGTTAATCTTTTTTGGCAAATATATTAAATGGTATGATAGTAAATTAGAAAGTTTAAGTATTGTTTTTCAAATATGGTGTGTGCTTAATTTATGTACATTCTTATTAAACTGGGTCTAAAAATTCAAAAAAGAAAAAGTTCATACAATTTCAACAAGATGTAATAAATTCTAAATTTGAAACATTCGAAATTTCAACAATTATTATTAAATATAATGATCCATTATCTAGTAAGTAACTCTTATAATTATAAGTAATATTGATCAATAACAATAATTAAAGATTTCTAATGCTAAAAGTTGTCCCATTTTCCGTCTCCATGAACCGGAAGGTCATTAGGTATAAAGGAAACAACCTTAACTTAATGAATAAACATACTATTGTGTTTATTTATTCCACACGATATTAGGAATAATTTTTTTCACTCTAAATAAACAAAAGTTTACAATTGATCAGTCTAACTGTATGTTAGAACCATTGATAAATATATAATACAAACAAAAATACTAATTATATACAACAGCACCAATGGCTGTTCTCCACTACTGATAACTTTCATCGTTCAAGGAACTTCACCATGCAATTTGAAATGAAGAGTGACCTTTGACTACAACACATCGAAGAAGAATATCCTTGACATTAAATATAGCAGTCTCTGCAAATGTATTGAATGTCATCACATAAATCAGATAATTTAATTTGTAATAGCTTTTTTGGCCTCGTTCTGGTACTCATCCCTTGCTTTCAGCCAGAGGTCAGCGAAAGCACAATTCTTCCAAGCTTCAAACCATGGTCCTCCACGAGTATAATGAATAGCCTTAGGAAAAGTACTGGGGTCATCCTCGACAACCTTGTTATGCCCCTCAAGGAAGTTCCAAACAAAAGGAATCGACCCAATTTCATCGTCTTGCAGCCACTGAAACCTGTGAAGAAAAGCTCCAGTTTCTGTGTTCACAGCTTCAGGAGTCAGAACACTGTTCTTGGGATGCCCACAGTTGTATAACACCATCGAAGACCAATTCTTTCTGGGGTACACTGTTTGCACTGCCCCATCCATTTTCGTTGCCTCCTTTGGCACATATTCATGTTGGACACACATCACAGCATACTTGTCATCGATCAAATCTCTCAGCTCTTTGATATCTGCAAGGTAGAGGAAATCACAGTCCACAAACATTGCCCAGCCTTCGTAGTTGGCCAATTTTGGAGTCAAGAACCTCGAAAACGAGAATTCCGTGCTCTCGTACTGGTCCTTTTCGCGCCAATACAAGCCATTTTTTCTCAATTCTGATTGCTTGATCGGTGTGATTTCAACTGGAATGGAAGCTTTTTTCAAGATTGAGTGGCGACAAACCTCGTAAGCAATGTCTTCGCGTGGATCATACCCAACGAAAACCTTGAAATTCGCCATCTCACTGCACTGTTCAACGTTGGTTCGAACAATAAAACGATTGAAATCGAAACTCTAAATACAGAACGATATCACAATGACAAATTCGCAGAAAAATTATAGAGAATATAGAATCTAAATCTAGTGCCTTCTAATTTTGGAAAGGATGTAGAAACCGCATGTCATGTGGAATCAAATAAAACTGAACATAGGAATGAAAACCTAAAGTAGTCAAATAAAGTAATCCCAATTTTGAAGGGGAAACAAGAAATGTATGATAAGTCGTGTATGTTTGGTGGAGGAATGAATGAATGCTGTGGCGATATTAAAAAGAGGAGGTTGTGGGTGCTTATTTTTTTTTGGAATAACTAAGCCAGAAAAATTATTTTTTTATGGTATATTTTCAACACAAATTATATTTTGCCATACAATTTTTTTATATTCATTTAATATTAATTTATTAAATGTATCATAAGTCTTGTGTTTGGTGGAGAAATGAATGAATGCTGTGGTGATATTAAAAAGAGGAGGTTGTGGGTGCTTATTTTTTTGTGGAATAATTAGAAAAATTATTGTTTGCTATATTTTTTTTAACATAAATTATATTGTGATATACAAAATTTTATATGATATTACTATTTTTTATTTATGACTTATTTTTCTTCTTAAAAATACAAAAAGTTTACTTTTATGATCATTTTATTATTAAGATGTGTTAAATGAATCTAAATGTATCTTGTCCTACTATTATTTTTTTTCAAATTTATTTATATATGATAATAATAAATATAAAACATAATGTTAAAGAGTGTTCAATTTTGAGCTATTTCTAATTCATTTCTAAAGTTTATTTTTATATACAGTTTTTCTATCATGCTATGTCTTCAAAATATTTATCTTGTGCAAAGACTTGGTTTCTGTCTATTTCAATATACATTATTAAAATCTACCAACTGAATACACAGATTAACAAATTCACACACATATATATATATATATATATATATATATATATATATATATATAATGAACTTAAGCGTTTACAAAAGAAAAGAGAAAGTTATAAAGTATTTCATTAAATATGATTATTATTTTTTAACTAATTACAATATGAGTATAAAAAATTTTGTCACGATAAATTTTAACCTATGATTTTGAGAAAATGTTTAAGAAATAAATTTTAAATTTAATTTAACTTCATAAAAATAACTTATAAAATAATATTTATATTTACTTATCAAATCGTTTTATTTATAGTTGATTTAGATTTTTAAGAATTTTTAAATAGATAAATGAAAAATTATACCTGAAAAACTTATAATTAAATAACTGAAAAGTTATTTTCTTGATGCATAATATTAAACTCGATATCAATATTAGTTGGTCCAGGTGCTGCTCGTTTAACTCCCAAAGACACAAAAGGTTTGAAATTCCGTATTTAAACGGACTTAACTTTCTCGTAAGATCTTAACCTCGTAGTAGACAGTGACGCTAACCTGAACAAATTAATGTTTTAGAGTTACGTCTTATAACTAATTTGCCAAAATAAAAAGGGAGAAAACAACATTTAAGAAAGACCAGACAAACGGACCAGAACTATAGAGAAGATTCTGTACTATTTTCCGCAGATGGTTTTGATGATAAAGATTCAAAATTAGAAAACAGAACAAATAGAGTAACCTCATTTTTTATCCCTAAATTTCATTTAACAGTAATTACTCATTGCATTCCTTTGAAGTTTAGCAATTTCCTAAATAAATAAACGACAAGATTACTGATTACGACAACAATACTGTCACAATGAAGAGGACTATAAAACAAGAGTTTCTTAAAAAAGAATTTTGTTGTTCAAGTATATGCAATATAGTCTTTAATAATAATTTAAATATAGGGTTAAATATGTATTTAATTCCTTAACTATTCAGCGATTTTGGGTTTAGTTTCTATTCAAAAGTTTTGTTCATTTTAGTCCTCTTAGTTTTAAAACTCTTATAATTGGTCTTTAAAATTGAATGGCGTTAACTTTCTGAGTGATGTGACAAACGACAAGTGCACGTCTGATGTCACCTTCCTATCTACTTTTAATTGACGTGGCAGTAAAGGTCTGGTGGTCGGTCGGCCTAGTGGGTGGTCGATCACTCAGCCTGGCCGGCCACTCGACATGTACTCCAACTAACCGTTCGGCCTCACTTCCTTTTGTCTTATCATTTTGTTTCTCCTCTAGTGCACCGTTCTGCCTTAGTCATTCTTTTGTCTTTCGCTTACAGCTCGGTCTTTTACTCACCTCTCAGTCTTACACCCACATACTTAACCGATCCTGCACACAAACACACACTTAACAGTTCAGTTCTGCTCAGAAACATACAATTAACCGTTTAGTCCTGCATACTCACACACTTAACCATTTGGTTATTCGTGTTCACACCACTAACCATTCGGTCCTGTACATCAGACCGACCACCAGACTGAGTGACCAATCGAGTGGCCGACCGACCACCAGACCTTTACTGCCACATCACATAGTAGTCAGGAAAGGTGGCATCAAACATAGGCTTGTCATTTGCCACAACACTCAAAAGTTAATGTCGTTCAATTTTAAAGACCAATAATTAGAGTTTCAAAACTAAGAAGACTAAAACGAACAAAACTTTTGAACAGGGACTAAACCCAAAATCACTTGATAGTTAAGAGACTAAAAACATATTTAACTCTTAAATATATTCTTTTGATAAATATCTTAATATTAGAATTATGAAGTTTATTACAAAATAAATAATATCATCATCATCTTATTCCTACAAACTTAATATAGAAATATTAACTCACACCTCTAATGCCATATCTCCTCTGTTCACTTCCGACTAATTTTCACATGTCATAAAGTTATAATACTTTTAGTGTCTTACGTGAAACTAATGGAAATCGTGTATATACCTAATAATACAGTGAGGGCTTCATAAGATCTGAATGACCAATGACCAATGGTAATTGCAATCCATATATTAATTGGCAAATTTCACTATAAATGAAAGTTATAGTCTCGTGAATAATTATGATAATAACGTCGTGTGGCGATCGATACTAACTTCGATTTTAATACGTATGTTTCGTGTAATGGTTCGAATTGACAAATTGTCTTTATTTAAAAATTTCTTAAATTTTAATGAATACAAAATTTGAAGCTTTGTTTGTGGAAAATAGTGAGATTTTTCTCTTTTTTTTTTCGTTTTCCATACAATAGTAACTTTTTCCTGAAAAAGTTACAAGTATATTTATTGAAGTATAAGTATGTTTATTTTTTCGTTTTCCTAATGCAAATATTAATTAACAATATTGTTTAAGAAAAATCTTACAACAATGTGCACCGCCTCTTTTTAAGTAATTTTCCCATATTAAAATCATAAAATAATTAAAATGATACTGAATAGTTATTCTTAAAAATAAAAATGAAATCAAAGCAAAAAACAAAATTGTTAATTTCAGATTGATTTAAAAATATTTCTAAAACTCGATGCTATCTAGCTGGAAAGCCAACCGAGTTAAAAGTTGACTCCACATTCGAAACGCACGAACACGACATAGCCTGCCAGGCGTCACCAACTAGGAGGGAAAGGGAAATCCTAACTATGAAAGCAGTAAAACCTATCTACCTGTTGAAGAAACACTTAGCTCACTGTAAAGTACCACTGCTTCTTGCCTTGGCAACAGCAGCAGCATAGTCGCCATACTTCTCGTAACCGATCATGTATGTAGGTAACTGGTTTGTGGCCAGCTTTTTGAGCGAAAACGAATACCTCAAGGTGTCCACGCCTCCACCAGCTGTCGGCATCTGGGTCCTGTCGGACATGGCAATGTAGAAGCCATAGCACTCCGCAGCGATGTTCGCGTTTCGCTGCACCAGCGAGCTGACCCAGTGTACTGCAGTCCCCCTGTTCACCACGTACGATGGGATCCTCTTGTCCCTGTTCTGTAGCTCTCCGGGGTTCTCCGTTCCGAGGGGGTATGCCTGCACGGTGGCCAGCGCCAGCTCGAGTATGTCGCTCTTCACACCCCCTCCGAACATCTCGAACAAGGGTCTCACAGCGTCGAAGAGCGCAATGTAAGACGTCCCTGCTCTGACCTCTAGTTCCATTGCAGGCAGCCTGGCCGCTGCCGAGCCCACTCCCGCAGTCACTAGCTGCTCCTTGACCTCCTGGCTTGTGCACGCTCGGTACTTAACTGTCAAGTTCACCGGGTGGGTAGCCTTGTGCCACATGGCATCCTGTATCTGCTCGATGTCAGCGCCTAGCCAGTCCTTGATGGCAGGTTCGCCCCAGAATTGCCTCTCCACAAAAGCGAAAGCCTTGCGCGACTGCGTCCCCTTGTCGCTCAGGTAGTGCTTCCCGCACACAACCAAGGAGTATCCCTGCAGGGGGATCGTCGCCAGAGAGCATCTCATAAGCACAGCCATGGCGGCTTTCTCCGCATCAGTGTACTCGATGGGCTGGGCAGCGTACGCCATCTCCTCATCGCTCCGTCTCGGCAATATTTCGATTGTCCCTTTTGTTTCCCCGGCCACGGGCGGCCTGTAGTTGAACACTGGGCAGGCCCTTTCTTCTGGCATGATATCAGATAGCTGGATCCTGTGGTTGGCAGTGGCGACCGCACGAGAGATCCCCAAGCAGATGGCAATCTTCTTGATCCTATCTGGGGTCCAGTCGGCGGGGTGGTGTGCCGTCAGCTGCATGTGCTGACTCTTGATGAAGGCGTCAATGTGCGACATGGCTGCCTCAGGTGGCATACCCTGCACAGGCACCCAATGATACCCCTGTGGCATCGCGAGCCTCACCAGAAGACTGCAGGCGGATTCGGGTGACCCGTTTTTCATTTCAAACGTTTGGACCTCCATCTGTGGGAGGTCTGTCACTTCATAAGATTTAAATTCCGGTGGCGCGTTGTTACCCGTCCCGCTTGTGTTTCCATCTGTAACCATTGGGTCTATCGGAGGAGGTTCACTTTGGGAGAAAACGTTAGTAAGACATGAATCTATTTATATATTTATATAAAAAATGTTAAAGAATTTGAAGCGACTATAATTAGACTTAAATCAAACTTATATTTTCAATAAGAATTTGAAGAGACTAATTAGACTTAAATTCACACTTATATTTTCAATAAGAATTTGAAGCGACTATTCTCTAATGAATATTTCTAATATCTGCATTCGTTTCTATGATTAACAATAAAAATATAATATTATAATAATACATACGTACAAATATAAAAATAAAAGTAAAAAATAACTTCACATAATAA